CCACATGTAGTTCTGGAAATCATGGTTAATTTCAGTCATCTTCAAATTGATAGTAGCTTTGTTTTACAGAGACAGTTATATTTGTAGTTAAGAACTCAAGAATTTAATAAGGATGAATGTTTCTTAGGTGCTCAGGAAGGCTGCAGGCTAGAGGAAAGTGATGCTGGAGATGAGAATACACATAAAGGCTTTTCTCTGCTTATAGAGAAAGGTAGTATTCTGGAAATGGATATTTGCCTTAGTATAGATGAGGGAGTCTAGGCTGCTGAAATGTCTAAAGAAGATAGCTCTTTAATCGGGCAAATGAGAGTTGAGTAACAATGGGCATTTCTTTTCCATCCTACTCTTCATTTTAAAAGTATTTCATATAAAGCAGTAATGTGCCAAGAAATAGAATGCTAAGCCTCTCTGAAAGAGAGAGACTTTAGCAACTTTTACATTTCTAGCAAGTAGAATTTTTAATATATAACACAAGTTAAACACTAATTCATTGGACAAGTATTCCTTGACCATCTACCATGTGTCAGGCACAAAAGTAAATAAAAATCCTTCCCTTCATGGTGTGGGAGACAGACAACAGTCAAGATTGAGAAGTATGTTAGTGGAAGGTGCTGAGGAGAAAAAGTAGAGAAGGAGAATAGGAAATATAGGGCTGGGAGAGGTCACAATTCTAGACAAGGGGGTCTGGGAAAACACCACAAAAAAGAGATATTTGAGCAAAGATCTGGAAGAAGTTTCCTTATGCTCCAAACCATTGTGTGTTCTAAATTAATCTAGCTATGACTCAGAGCTGCAACTTAATGGGGTAGCAAGACGTTTCACCTCAGCTGGGCTTTGAGCTCCTTCTCTTCCTAGGGTTGTGAGGTCTGCAGAGATTTATATCTTGGGTTTCTGGTGAGTTTCAGACCTTGTTTTGCTCCTGAGGACTCTATCTAAGCCTGCATGATTGTTTGAGAGACGAGTTCATCTGTTAGGGCTCTAGAGCCATACCTTAATCTTGTCACCCAGGCATCCAACAGCCACCCCATAGTAAGAGTCCTCTGCTATGGGGACACAAGTCTGGGCTAGTATGGGAACTCCTAAATCTCTCAAAACCATCTTCATTTGGAGAATTCTCAGAATGGGGTTTTTCCTCCTCACATTTCAGCAGGTCTTTTCTAACAGCCCTTCTAACAGCCAAAGCTCCCAAAGACAAGCCTGGATAACAGAGAACACCAGTGTTATGTGAAACAAACTAGGAACACAGGGCAAAAAACACAGGATGGATCTCACTTATACGTGAAATCTAAAAACATTGAATTCAAAGGAGCAAAATTAGAATGGTAGTTATCAGGGCTGGGGAGCTTGGGAGAAGTTGGTCAAATGATTTTTAAAAGGAAAGAAAAGAAGAGAAAAGAAAAGAAAAGAAAAAAGAAAAAAAGAAAAGGAGCCTTGGTGATTGTTTCCAGGCATACCTTTGTTTTGTATTGGTGGCAAATAACAGAAATTTATTTTCTCAAATTCTAGAAACTAGAATTTGGTGAGGTGTTCCCAGGGTTGGTTTCTTCTGAGGTATCTCTCTTTGGCTTGTAGATGGCCCTTTTCTCCCAGTGCCTTAACATGGTCTTCCCACTCTACATGTCAGTATCCAAATTTCTTTTTATAAGGACACCAGTCATATTGTAGGACCCACACTAATGACATCATTTTAACTTAATTAGTTCTTTAAAGATCCTATCTCCAAATACAGTTGCATCCCAAAGAATGAACTTTTCTTTTGCCTTAAATTCTTTTATTGGTACACTTGAGACTCAAAATGAGAGTCTTATAACCACTATGGAAATCAGCATAGAGACTCTTCAAAAAACTAAAACTAGAATTTACATTTAACCCAGCCATTTCTGTTCTAGGTATCTTCCCAAAATAGTTAAAGGTATCATATTACAGTGATACATGCACACCCATGTTTATACCAGCACAATTCATAATAGCTAATCTTGTTAGCACCCTATATGTTCATCAAGAATAGATAAAGAAAATGTGGTATTTATATACAGTGGAATACTATTCTGCCATAAAGAAAGATAAACTTGAGTCATTTGCAGGAAAATGGATGCATCTTGAGACCACAATGTTAAGTGAAATAAATATGACACACAAGGTTAAATATTACATGGTTTCTCTTATATGAGAAACATAAATTTTAGATAAAGAGTAGAGTAAGAGAGGGTCGGGGATTTAGCTCAGTGGCGCTGCTGTCTGCCTTGCAAGCGTAAGGTCCTGAGTTTGATCCCCAGCACCAAAAAAAAAAAAGAGTAAAGTAAGAGACAGATAATAAGAAGTAGGAGATAGATATTTCTCAAATGGGAAGGGGATCAAGAGATGGAGAGAGGGAGAGAGAAGAGAGGAAAAGGGATGGAAAAAGGAATTAAAATGTGTTATGTACATTTAACAACTTCACACAAGGAATGTAAACATTTTGAACCTTGAATATGTACTAATAAAAAAATAAGTCTTCATTCTTTTTAATCTCTTAAAGAATAAGGATAAAACAAATGATTATCTCAATAAATTACCTTGCCAGTACATTCAAATAATGAATGTAGTCATTGCAAATTATTTTGATTTGTTGTTACATTAAAAAAATTGTCAGAACAATACATTTGCCCCTCTTTGCCTATTAACATTGTGACTATTTGTGCTTGTAGTTGAGGGTGGGAGACACATTCCTTTAAGAATATTATTATTTCAAAAAAAGAATATTATTATTTCATTTTTTAACATTTATTTTTAATTTTATTAGTACGTGTGTGTAGTACATAATGTTTGCATTTCTGTGGGAAGTTGGTACATGTACATAACAGATCTTAATTTTTCTCATCCCCTTTGCTTTTCCTCCCTCAGCCCTTACTGAGGCTTTCCTCACCAGCCTGGGGAGATTCACAGCAGTTCTGTTTATCTGGAGACCAGCATGTAGGTACAGTGTTCACAATAGAGATAAGAGATTAGGAAACTAAAACAAAGAAATGTGGGTCAGAGAGAAGAAAGGTGGAAGTGAGAGAATGGACATAGAAGGAGATGTACTGATGAAGCAGGGGAAAGAAGGGACAAAGGAGAAATGAAAAATAGACTCAGGATGAGGAATTGAAAAATGAAATATAGGATAAAGACTAAGTAGGAAATTGCAGAAGCAAGTGAATTGCATCCAGTGTTAAAAACCATATGGTTCTGGAAGTCAGAAGTATGATGAGAGCCAAAATCTAGGTGTTGCCAATATTATGTTTCGGCCTGGAGACCCTATCAGAAAAGCCATTTTCTAGCTTCTGTAGGCTGCTTGCATTTCTTGGCTAATGGCTCCCTTCCTTCCCATCTTCAAAGAACCTCTCTAGGGTTCAATTGTATCTCTCTGACCATTCATTTGTAGTCCCTCCTTTCTTGCTCTAGCCTCTACCCTTTCAGGAAAACTACTTTAGGGATTCATGTGGCTATACTGGGATCCCCATCTCCAGGGCCATAAATCACACCCGGCTAGTCCTCTTTGCTATAAAAGGTGATATATTCACAGGAGCCTGGAATCAAGATGTGCACATCCTGGGGACCATTATCATGCTTATCACAAAGACTATACAGCCTTAATTAAATCCCCCCCCCCCCTTTCTGTAAGTTATAGAATCAGGCAGTACACTATCAGTTAAGTACATTTCCAGTCTAGGTAGGCCATTTCAAACATGTTTTAGTCTGTATACCATTTGAAATGTAGAAGAAATAGATATAATTTGCAAAAAAATTAAGATACATATTTTGGTAAATATAACTGAATATACTTTTTTATTATGGTCTAAATGGATAACTTATGAAACTTTTTATGAAGTCTCCCACTCTGGTAGCATGGGACCTAGGATTAAGTAGGAGCCCCTGAAGTGGGCTGTTCATTTGACTCCGCTTGACAATGGCCAAGGCTCATGGTCAGCATATCCCTTCTTTCCTTGAGTTTTATTTTTATTTTATTTTTCGTTGACTTTTTTCAGCTAAAGTGCTTGTGGATTCAGAGTGACTTTAGGTGTTTCTTGATGGCAGCTCTTGATGACCTCCACAAGATGCTTAAGCATCTTCTCAGATGAAGACTATCTTCTATTTTCCCTTTAGCTGAGGGGCATTCTGCAGCATTCATTCCCGCATTCATAGGTGTTTATGTACTTGCCTGGTTGTAACCAGAAACTGGCCCTCTGAAGAACATTGGCTAGAACGCCCTGGAATTTGATTCTATCATCTGATTCTGTTTCTGACTCATCCCGTTCTCATCTAAACCACTGTTGGACCAGCTCCCTGGACAAGCTGAGAATGGAAGTAAAAATTCATGTGAGAAAGAAAAAGAGGCCTGGAGGAAGAGAGGTTAGTGTTGTGAGTTGTCAGTTGTTATTCAAAATAAGTCTGCCCTTTGCTTAGAGAGAGCACAGGAAGGAAATACAGTGATTGAAATTATCCACAGATTGGGCTCTTTAGCCTATTATTTCCTCCAAATGCAAAGTAGCATTTGTTTGTTAGTACAGAGTTCCAAGCATTTTGCTAGTTATTAGGGCTATTAGTACTGAATATCTTCATGGGTCTCATTGGGTGAGAGAGTTTTTATATGCACAAGAAAGCACATTACATATGTCTGTGTCAACATATCCATGTTCATGTAAAATCATTTCACGTTTGATAAACACTTGACCTTTCAAGTTCTTTCATGTCAGGTATTTCATCTGGTCTCACAGAAGCTCAGAAAGTCGTCAGTGCAGATATGAAAACAGAGTCATAGAGAGATTAGCTTTCTTATTACCAACTTACTGGGGCCAGGGCTAGTGAGGGTTTAGATTAGAATGGGCTTCTCAACTTTAAACCAAGGCTCTTCCTATTTGGTTATGTAAAATAATAATTTCAGTAATTCAAGAGTTTGAACAAAGTTTTAATGACTTCAGAACTGTCAGAACTATAATACTAATTGTCACTTACAATATATGTTTAGCAGCAATTGACTATAATTGGTGGTGGAGGAATAAGAAAGAAAGAAGAAATAGCATTTCATGCAAAATTGTATAAAAATATGACAAGATCTTGAAAAATGCAATATTATATAAAGAACTAAGAAAGACTCAGAAACAACAAACAGTTTAGCTGCTGTATCATTTTAGAAATAGCACATGGTTTCTACCACAAGATGAATTTAAGAATCAAACAAGAAAATGCAGACATGACTTCTGAGTTTAGATTGCTCAAAATGCACAGAGCTGAGCATTTTCTGGTCAGTGCAATTAATTCCACTAAAAATGGGATGACATGCCTTTAAATTTAAATTTATATTATGGAATTTAGAATTTTACCCTTTATCCCATATATTTTCTTTCTTTAGGGTAGTTAATCTTGGCCAGTTATACAAAAATTATTTTAGTTAAAAAAAATGGTCAATACATTGTTTGGGGCTGGTACAGGCTTAGAACGATTTTCTGGATTATATATAAGATTTAGCCAGGTTGAAGTTGTTTTTGTTTTTAAGCCAATTAAAAGTAGACACAAAAGCTCTTTTTTCATGGTTTTACTTGTTGATTTTCAGTAAATGCCAATTTTTAATCTTCTAAAAATATAGATCTGTCCTTTTAAATATAATCTTCTCTTCCTGCCTTTTGAAATATTTCTGATACATACTGAATATTGACAGAAAAAGACCTCCACATACAAAAATATCTTTCCAAGTTCTCTGTATATTTTTCTTGTATTTGCAGCATATATAAATATTCCATTTAGTTAAATGGATAAAAATTGTTTTTTGTTTGGGAATACTACTTTAGTCTGAATATAAAGCCTAGCTCACATGAAGGGTAGTTTCAGAAAGACTGCCCCATGCCATGGTCTTACCTCATGCCAAGATCATAAAATGAATCTTTAGGCCTTTATTCAGCAAAATTGAATGTGTTTCATTAGGAAGTTTTACTCAGAGAGAAAGTCTACATTCTGGGAAAATTATGTAACAATCATCTTCTCTTAACCTAAAGCAAAATACAAACTTCTAAAAAAGTTCCCAGCATTTCATGTCCCTGTCCTCCTCATGACCACCTGGAGAAATAACTGAATAGAGAGGAAGTACTGTGGACCTTCAACAGGCTTAACATCAAGAATCTGTGCAGTAACTTTGAGGTCCTTCTTGGATTAGCAGTGTTTTCTCATTTGCATTTGTAGGCTGAAGAACAACTGGAAGGTCCACATCTAAAAATAAACAAAGAGAAACAATAAACCCTCTTTTTATCAACTTACATTTCCTTTACTGGGGCAAGTGATGGATATTTTTGTTGAAATGATAATGAATCAATTCAGTTCCTAAGATATTAAAATACCTACCCTCTAAAGGACTTCAAGTGGGGGGAGAGAGTATATTTTTCATTCAAGTTCTGTCAGTTACAGAATTACAGAACTGAAGCTCTAACCCCTGCTTTCACCAGTGCCCTCCTTGCGCACTCACTGAACCGGGTGAAGTCGAACTTTAATGTTTACCATCTTGTGGTGTCTTAGTCACTTTCCTCACGGCTGAGACACAACACCTGACACCTGCAACTTAAAGGAGGAGAGGTTTATTTTGGCTCATGCTTTTAGCCCATAGTTGGCTGGCTCCAAGAAAGGAAGGCATGGAATGCTGCTCCACCATGGGTAGAGGAAAGCTGCTTACATCATAACAGCCAGGAAGGGGGTGGGGGAGATACCTTTGCAGTTGATGTTCACAGGTACCTGACCAGACCCCACCTCCTAACAGCAAGTCAGGTAAAATGAAGGCCTCCATAATCCAGTCACCTTCCAAATCCCTGCTTTTGAGTGCATGAGGCTTTGGGGGAACATCTAAACATAAAACACAACACATAGGGATGGAAAGAGGGCCACCATATACAGTGATACAGATTGGACACTGTAAAACTCCAGGAGTCACCTTTCATTAAGATTATCTATCTATCTATCTATCTATCCATCTGAAAGCTGTATCTTAGAAAACCCAGGGCTTACTTAAGTAGAGAGTCTCACAGGAAGCTCTTCACATAAAGCTAGTGATTTCAAATGGCTATACTCTCTCTAAGCCACTATACTCTTAAATTTTCAAGATTTTTTTAGTCTTGAATTTTGGTGCTGAGTTGAAGGAGCTGTCCTAAAAAAATGTTTAGTGGCAAGTCAATGAGCACAGCAGTTGGCAAAGTTTTCAATGTTCATGTGTTCTAAGAAATCCTAAGATGATAATTTAGCTTAAAGTAATACATGGAAGATGTGCTTCTAGGGACCTAGCAGAAGTGAATGACCTCACATGCACCTGGTTCAAAATGAGAGAGATTCACAGTAAAAATAGAAATAGATGTGTGTGTGTTATGTGTGTTTGTGTGTGTGTGTGTGTGTGTGTATGAGAGAGAGAGAGAGAGAGAGAGAGAGAGACTGAAAGGCTTTAAATACTGTGCTGAACAGAGCCAAAATATAAAAGAATTATGTGGTTTTTAAATTATCAAATAGATAATTGAAGATAATAAAAAAGAACTTCTAGAGATTAAAACATCTGAAATAAAAAACAAAGCCTCAATGAATGACTTTAACAGCTGAAGAGACTACTAATGAAGGAGAATACATTTCTAGATTATTCAAAATGTAATACAGAGCCAAAAACAACATATGAAGAGGATAAAAGAGATGAATAGAGTGATAACGTCTAACTTGTACCTAGTATGACATTAAGAAAGAAATCTTTAAAAAGGAAGAGAGGCAATATTTGAGGAACTGATGGCTGAGAATTTTGTAGAATTGAAAAGAAACCAATCCACAGGTCCAAGAACCAGCCAGGATAAATTAAAGAGAACCCCATATTTAAAACACCTTGGTGACCACAAAGACTAACAAAGACAGTGGTTTTAAAAGCAATCTACTCAATAGCAAATATGGAAGCCAAAAAACCATGTAATTTTATTTTTAATATGTTGAAAGAGGATATTTATCAACCTAAATTTGTAACTTTGATAACTGAAGTATGCTTTTAAATTTCTAAAGTAATCCTAAACAAAATAAAACAAAGGATAAAACAAAGAATAGTTTCTAAACCCCAGAAGGGAAAAAAATAGAATAAGAAAAATATACTCTATCAATCCAAAAACAAGAAAAGAGAACCATAGAAAAGTGTCAATTTGAAGTGACAATTACAATAATAAAATATTAACAAAAAGCACATACCCAGAGTTATTGTCTCCACTTTATGTCCATTAATTCATTGTATTGGTGAGGTCCCATTGCCAGGAACAAATACCCATCACTCACAACTTAAAGGAGAGATTTACATTAGCTCATGGTTTCAGAGGGTTTGGTCCACGGTTGGCCTGGCTCCAAAGCAGAACATCATGGTGGAATGGCTTGGTGGAGCAAAGCTATCACTTTAGGTGGCTAGGAATCAGAGCCCAAGAAAAGATCTCCAGGACAGATACACTCTCCAAAGACATGACCACAATGACCCACCTTGTGGGACTGTGTGATTCAAAAGTTAATTACTCCCCTAGGTTCTGTTGTAAATTTGATGGTTGGAGTGTGTTTGCCTCGGGACAATGGACAATCAGTAACAGGGCGAGATTACTCAGCCATCTGTTTGCCCTAATTCCAAATGTCCCGGTGCCCAGTATCTATAGGACAATCTGTAAACAGGGTGGTCGTAACTATTAGCCAGGATGTCTGCTGACCATCAGCATGTGACAGTGAGCCACTAACCTTTGTTCTTTTTTTTCTGTGAATCCACATGTTAACACCCCCCTTAACCCCCTATAAAACAACCTCGGACTCTGAGCCAGTTGCCTCTCTGAGCTATTTTGCTTCCGGAGTGCCGTCTGGCCAGACTAATAAAGGTCTGTTTCCCAACTTGGCTGGTGTGTTCCTTCCCCAGTGGTCTTCGCTGTAGCCAGCTCCTTGGAGCGTTTGGTAAGGCTCTTGGTCTTACATTCTGAAGGCACCGCTCGGATTCCTGGGTGTGCTCCACTTCAGCTCCTTGAGGCATTTGGTAAGGCCCTTGGCCTTGCATTCTGGAGGCACCGCTGGGATCCCTGGGTGTGCTTCACTATAGTCAGCTCCTCGGAGTGTTTGGATAAGGCCCTCGGTCTTACAACCTCCTGCTGGACTCTACTTCCTAATAGCACAGTCAGCTGTGAACATCACTGGATTCATTCACTGATGAGTATAGCATCCCCATGATCTAGTCACCTCTCCAGGAGTCTTTCAATCCAGTCAATTTGACAATTAAGCTTAGCCATCGTACTAATGCAATAGCTGTAATAGCACTATGATGTATGGTTTCTATTATACCCATTTTACAGATGAGGAAACTGGTGGGGAGCACAGACTGTTGTCTAACTAGCCTGAGGTTTCACTGGTAATAAGCAATAGAGCTGGTATTCCTATCTGGGCAATATTTCTCAAAGTCTGTTCTTTTAAAGACTATTTGATGCTGTTTCTCACAAAAAGGAAGTTAGAAAAAAATAAAAATATATCATGTTATATTAAATATAAATGACTTAATGCTCTATTTTAAAATTTTGCTATTTACCAAAGAGATATAAAAAAGAAAACGATGTAAATAAAAGGATGTAAACACTCACAAAAAGAAAGCTAATATAATCACATTTTAACAGAACAAAATAAAAGACCAAAGCATTGCTAGAGCTAGGGTGTAACTTCATAATATTAAAATGTTTGGTTAACTAAGTAGCTATAAAAATTCTCAACACAGATACACTAATAACATAACCTCAAAATATATGAGGCAAAATTGATGGAATTTTATACAATAGAAAAATCTATCATCACAGTGGAAAATTTAAATGATTCTTTCAGTAAGTGACTAATGAAACAAGCAAAAACATTTTTAAGGATATGAGGAATTTGAAAAGTGCCATGTTGTGGATTGAATTGTGTCCCTATCCTAAATTTGTCTGTTCTAACTGCCTTTATCTCAGAAAATGACCACATTTGAATAACTAAACAGTCTTTAAAGAGGTAAATTAGTTAAAATGAAGTTTTTAGGGGTGGACCCTAGTTCAACACAACTAGTATTCTTAAAAGCAAAGATTATTTGCATTTTTAAAAAAACAGCCTGTGAAGACAGAAGAAGGTGACCACACAATCAGCTCTGTTACTTTCTTTGATCTCTGACTTTTAGCATCCAGAACTGTGAGAGAATAAATATATGTTGTTTAAACCACTCAGTCTCTGGTACTTGTTATGGCAGCCCTAGAAAATGACTCCATACAATAAATTAGCTTTATTTAATAGGTGTAGTATATGGAACAATGAACTTAACAAATGCCGAATGTATTGTCTGGAAGCAATATAGAACACCTATACATATTATTAAGTTCTAGGCTGTAAAGCAAGTCTCAACACTTGTTTGTGAAAAGTGTTCCACATTTTGAAGTACTGATGTGGTACTGTCAACATTCTCTATCACAGTAGCATTAAGCGAAATAAAAACAAAAAAAGGAAGATAGAAAACACCCACAGTCTGAAAAAAAATGACACACAGAGGCTTAACCTATAGATCAAAGAAAAAAAACATAATGGAAATCAGAGAATATTTAGAACTCAGATGATAGAACAATATAAGAATTCTGTGTATGTATATGTGTGGTTGTTTCTGTGTGCATGTGAAGCTAAAGTGGCACTTGTAAAAATTTATAGTCTTACATACTTAATACAAGAAGTTAAATTAAGAAGTCTAGGCACGTTTCAGTTCAGTGATTTTTTTTTTTCTTCTGGCAGTAGGTAGAAAGTGGTTTTATTATAGGGATGGCAGTGTTGGTTCAGCATTGGAAGATCCACCGCCATAAGTCATCATTTTAACAGAGGAAAGGAAAAAGTCATATGACCCTGTCATTAGTTGCAGAAAAAGTAATGGACTAAATTCTACAGCTGTTCATGGTAAAAGCTATCAGGAGACCAGAAGTAGAACAGAACCTTCCCAACAGATAAGACATGCGCTCCATACTTTCAGAAAAAATGCCTTATATGAATGGAAAAGATACAATGCTTTCTCCCTAAGGTGGGGAACAAGGGCAGATATGCCTACTCTTCATCTTTCCATTACACTTTGAAACATAGGCCCAAACCAAAATAGTCTGGCAATAAAAAGAAACAATTAGCATAGGATTAGCAGGGCAGAAGCAAAATCTTTATATGTAGATGAAATGATCATCTACAGAGAAAATACT